GCTTTTCTTTCTGCTTAGTGATATGAAATTTTATCATGAAATTCCATGTTAAAGAATTATTTTCTTCTGTGGTCTGGAGAACGGAGACAGTGTTTGCTCTATCTGGAAAATGACACTTGGTTATGGCTAATTTTAATTTTCCTCTATGATCATTTATTCTCCTGGGTTCCACAATTTTCTTCCTAAAATTCCTTTTATTTTGAAATTAAATCCTTCCAGGATAATTTTGTGATTTTTTTCTCTTATTCCCGCCTTATCTTCAAGTCATTTTCTACCACATTTTTAATTTTTGCTATAAAAATTTAATTCTTCAAAATTCTTTTTTTTTGAATGCTTTTGTGAATATATCCATTTCTTAATTATACGGATGCATTCATTATCTTTAACCTGAGAATACTGATATTTGCTTCATTTTTAAAGTTTTCTTCTTTCATAGTATCTCTTTCTATTCACTCTTGTGTCTGGTTATCCTTGGCTGTCCACCTACATTTAAGAGCAGGCTCACTATGAAAAGCGAAGCGAAGCTCTACATTTGAAATGAAAAGTTTATCAGTTACATAGCTGCCTTGAAGGATGGTCTAACTAGGCTATTTGTGGAGGGCACTGAATATAGAACAGGAGAAAAGTTGCGACACTTGCTTATCAGTCTGTGCCAAGAAATATGAAGAGATCCACATTTGTTCCTATTCCCTAAAAAATGAGATCCTACAGTATGCGGATGTTGTTGTTGTTATGTGCCGTCGAGTCGCTTGTGACTCATAGCAACCCTATGTACAACAGGCCTAAACTCTGTTCTGTCCTGTGCCGATCGCACTGTCTCTGACACTCCCATCACGATTATCCCAGTGACCGAATCAATCCACCTCATAGAGGGCCTTCCCCTCCTGCGCTGTCCCTCTACCCTCCCAAGCATGATGTCCTTCTCCAAGGACCAGTCTCTTCTCACAACATGTCCAAAGTATGTTAGACGGAGACTCAGAATCCTTGCCTCCAAGGAGCCATCCGGTTTAACCCTTTCCAGGACGAATCTGTTTGTTTTCCTAGCAGTCCATGGTACTCTCAATATTCTTCTCCAGCACCACAGCTTAAAGGCATCAATTCTTCTAATCTTCCTTGGTCATTGTCCAACTCTCTGATGCATAACAAGTGACTGCAAAGACCATGGCCTGTATCAGACGCACCTTAGTCTCCAGAGAGACACACCATTGCTCTTCAGCACTTTGATGAGGTCCCTAACAGCAGACTTTCCCATGGCAATACTTCTATACTTCTTTTAATTTCCTGGCTACTGGTGCCAAGAGTGTTGACTGTGGAGCCAAGCAAACTAAAGCTGTGAACAATCTCAATCTCTTCACCATCCATTCCTGATGCTGCCAATTGGTCCAGTGGTGAGAAGTTTTGTCTTCTTGAAATTGAGCCTCAATCCATATTGGTGGCTGCAGTCCTTGACCCTCTGCAGCAGGTGCATCAGGTCCTCCTCAGTTTCAGCAAGCAGGGTTGTGCCATCTGCATAACGCAGATTGTTGATAGATCATCCACCTATCTTGACCCCACATTTCTCCTCATAGAGCCCAGCATCCCGGATAATCTATTCTGTATACAGATTGAAAAGGTATGGAGATAGTATTGAATAATATCATTAGTATCACAGGCAAATAAAATCTTGTTGACGATTATTTAAAAATGTTACAACAGTACATTGACACAGAACTGCCAGAAATTCCAAACTCGATTTAGAAGTCATGATATCAGGGATATTACTGCTTTTGTCACATGGATCTTGTCTGAAAGCAAAGAATACCATAAGGATTTGAATATGCAAAGGCATTTGTATGGATCACAAAAAATTATGGCTGAGAAGGAGAAGAATGTGAGTCTCAGAACGCTTAATTGTGCTCACATGAAATCTATAACTAGACCAAGAAGGTGGTGTTTGAACAGAGCATGGTTTACGATCAGGAAGGTGTGTGTAGGCACTCTTTCCTTTCTCCATACCTATTCAGTCTGTATGTGGAGCAAATCATTCAAGAAACTAGAGTTTATGAAGAGTGTAGCATCAGGATCAGGGGAAGATCCATCCACACTGCAATTATGCAGGTGACAAAACCGATTTTGCTCATTTTAAACACTTTAAACATTTTTAAATCCTCATTCTCAACATCAAGAAAATGTAAATTCTTGCCACTGGACTAATATGCAACACCATGACAGATGAAGAAAAAATTTAAATTATCAATAATTTTACCTTAATTGGGGCTATAATCAACAAACTTGGTAGCAGCAGTCTAGAAATCAAAAACAGAGCATATTGAGAAAATATGCTGCCAAGAACATCTCGAAAATATTGAAAAGCAATGATGTCAGTTTAAAGCCTAATGTGCACATAATCCAAACCATAGTCTTTTTAATGACTTGCTTTGTATCTGAAAGCTGGATAACGACTAAGGATGACAGAAGTATCGATGCCTGTGAGCTGTGGTGGTAGAGAAGATTACTAACTGGACTATCAAAAGAACAAAAATGTCATAGAGAAAGTGCAACCAGGGTGCTTCTGAGAAGGATAATGATGTTTTGTCTCGTATACTTCGGGTATGTTGTCAGAAGGGACCAGTTTATAGAAAAAGACATGCTTGGAAAGGTGGAAAGTCACTAAAAAAGGGGAAGATTCTCAACAAGATAGAATGCCACAGCACCTGTCACAATGAACTTGAGTGTATCAGGGATGGCACAGGACAGGGAATGGTCCAGATTATTGGTTCACAGGATCTCTGTGAACCACAGTCAACTCGATAGCACGTAACAATAGCAACTCAATGGGTGTAACTTTAGAACTCTTTTCTTTAACCCAAGTACTATTTCTTCCAGAATCTTGGCCAGATGGAAATGTCAACATTTAATTAGTAATTACCACTTATTTCATGTCTACTTTTAATTACACAAGGTTTGTTGTTGTTGAGAACCACTGAGTTGAAACTGACCCTACAGTGCATTTTCAGAGGGTTAATGGCCTGGGAGGAGACTGCCCGTCCTTCTCCCGCAGAGCAGCTGGTAGATATGCCTTTAGGATTTCAGTGCAGTTTCTCACCACTATTCAAATACTGTTTTATCTTTCCCAAAAAATAAATGTCTCATCTTTGGAAAGGTTATGGAATGGTTTTGGAGGATGCATCTGCACCTTACCTGACATCAGTTAATGCTTCTGCTTTTGTTGTTGTTATGTGCTATTGAGTTGGTTGTGACTCATAGTGAACCTATGTACAACAACTCTGAACCCTGCTGTATCTTGAGCCAACATCACCTCAGTCACTGAGTCAATCCGTTTCATCCAGGGTCTTCTTCTCTTGCACTTTCCCTCTACCCTCCCAAGCAACATACCCCTCTCCATGGACTGGTCCCTCCTTGCAACATGCCCAAAGTATGTCAGATAGAACTTCAAAATCCTTGCCTCCAAGGAGCAGTCAGGGTTCACCATCTCCAGGACGAACCCATTTGTTCTCCTAGCAGTCCACTCAGTACTCTTCTTCAGCACCACTGCTCAAAGGCATCAATTCTTCTTCTATCATCCTTGGTCATTTTCCAGCTTTCTGATGCATAGCAAGTAACTACAACGACCATGCCTTGTATCAGGAACACCTAAGTCTCTAGACAGACATTATTGCTCTTCAGTACTCTGAAGAGATCCTTGACAGCAGATTTTTCCCAATGCAATTCACTTTTTGATTTCTTGGTGGCTAAGCAAGCTGAAGCTGTTATTAATTTCAATCTCTCACACCATCTATCATGATGCTGCCAATAAGCCCAGGAGTAAGGATATTTGTTTTCTTGATGATGAGCTTCAATGCATATTTCAGCAAGCAGGGTTGTGTCATCTGCATAATGTAGATTGTTGATGAGTTTTCCTCCAATCCTAATACCACATTTCTCCTCATAGATCTCAGCCTCCTGGATGATCTGTTCTGCACAGATTGAAAAGGTATGGAGAAAAGATACATCCTTGGCACACACCTTTCCCAATTTTGAACCATGCAGTGTTTCCTTGCTCTGTTCTGATGACTGCCTCCTAGTCCAACCATAAATTTCACATAAGCAAAATCAAGTGTTCTGGGATTCCCATTCTTCTCAGAGTCAGCCACAGTTTCTTGTGATCCACACAGATAAATACCTTTGCATAGTCAAGGAAATACAGATAAACATTCCTCTGGTTTTCAGCCAAGATCCATCTAACATTAGCTGTAATATAATATTGCCACTGACTCTTCTAAACCCAGCCTGCACTTTGGGCAGTTCTCTGGTGATGTGCTGAATCTTGCTTTTACCTCCTTTTAATCGTCACTTCTATCTAAAATGGCTATCTAAAGGAACATTTGGGGATCTATAGCGTAAACTGGGCTATTTCATGACTTAAGGATCAGCTCTTTAAAATATACCTAAACATTTAACCTAGTTAACTGGCTTTCCAGTATGCTAAATTTTATTGTCACTATCTTTTCAGATTTCCTTGTGCTTTTTCATTTTCTCTCTGCCATACTTTTAATGAGGTTTATGGAGCAAACTCAGATAAAGGTGTATTATCAGTACTTACTGTGGATTAGTTACAAAGAAAAAGCTCAACTGCTATATGGAAATATCAAAATTACCACGAGCAATATCTTGGGTGATCCATACTGTCGCTGAAAAACCACTGGAGGCTCAGCTAAGGGGTTGGTTTCCACTACAGTACACAACACCACCACCAAAATTAAGTTGGTTATATGGCTTTATGTAAATAAAATATCAGTAGTTGAAGTCAAAAGTATGTTTTATAGTTTCACAAACTTTAAAATCTAAAAAGTTATGTAGAAATCAAAGTGTATAAGGTTTTTCGATAATTTATGTCCTTTTAAAAAAGTTGTATCTCCATTTTTTTGACAAACAGCGGTACATTTCAATGATGTCCCATTAATCATATACATTTCCTTTCCTTTGAAAATATTTCTACTTCTAAATAGAAGAATACTAACCTCTGCTTCTGTTGCTTGGCACTGCAAAAGTTGTCGTATACGGAGTATGTCCTTCTCTATTTGCTGAATTCTGGCAACTCTTCGCTAAAAGAAAAGAAATTAATAAATTAGAAATATTTTCATTAAAGTTTTTATTTAAACAATTCTATTTTATAGCTAACATTTAACAGTTCACAGTTGTAGAAAGTCTTTGTGTAAAAAGGTAGATATGTATGCATATTCACACACTGATGACTTAAAAGTCTCTTCATTTTTTAAATACTAGAATACTACATTTCGTACAAAAAATTTCTAGATGTGTTTTGGAAAATTTTCAAAATACAAATTGTATATAACATTAGTGCTATAATTGTTATTTAAAAGTTACTCTTATAGTCACCAGGATGGGAGAGGAAAGAGAGAGTAGTAAAAAGAATATAATGCGTGACAGAAAAGGCTACACAGGTAATAGGCAATTATTTAGATATTATAATAAATTAGTCAAATGTAACTAATGTTATAAAAATGGTTATGACTGAATAAAATATAGTTTTCAAACCTTCACTCAAAAGTTACTCCTAAAAATTATTTCAATATAAATCTAAGCACCTAAATTTAATTTTTTATATGAGTATTAAATATAACAGATTTATGTACACCATGGTATATCAAGGAAAGAAAGGACATCTGCTATGCTTTTTAAAGCATCAGGATTTAAACGGGAGGAATAATCTTCCCCAAGGTTGTTAATGTCACAGGTCACTAATATGTTTCAGGTCTGGCCATTTCAAATACTCAATGAAGCTAATTTTTTTCATGGTCAAAGATTTCCTTTCTTACTACATTAATCCCATAATTTTTAATAATAAAAAGTTCTCTATAATTTGTTAAATTTTTGTTCCTAATGTTTAAGTGGCTTCAATGTTCAGTTTAGATATTTGAACCTAAATAAACCAATTCTATTATTAAAAAAAAATCATTAAGGATCCAAGGGGCGGGGAAGGAGGAAGCAGAGGGATGAGGAGGGGGGGATTAACCATGGGGTTGTACAATTTGAAGGGGGGGTGGTTTGAGAGAAATTGGAAGAGTCTGTTCCGGAAAACACTGTATTCAAATTTTGTAAATAAATTAGTATAATTTGAAAAAAAAAAGAAAAAAAGAAAAGCAGCCTCTGTCCATGTAAGCCCCTTGATAACCCCTAGTGGTTTTGTTTTTGTGCATTTTTTAAAGATATATTTTAAAGTTGGACTTTTTATTGTGATATAAAGTGTATTTGTTGTTGTTATGTGCCGTAGAGTGGGAAAAAAAGAAACACAACACCTTATGGGCAACATTTTGGAAAAAAAAAAAAAAAAAAGATACTCCAGGATATATAATTGTGCTCATGTGGAACCTGTATATGAACCTAAAGGAAAGTCATTCAAACAAAATAAGGATACCACTTGCCTTAAAATCAGGAAAGGTGTGTACCAGAGTTGTACACTTTCACAACAGCTACTCAATCTGTATGCTAGGCAAGTATTTTGAGACGGTGGACTACATGAAGAATGTATTATCAGGATTTGAGGAAAACTTGACATCAACCACCATTATGTAGATGCTGCCACTTTGCTTACAGAAAGCAAAGGGGACTGGATTGAAAAAGATCAATAGCTACTTCCTTTAGCACGGATAACATTTCAACATCAATAAAATAAAAAGCCCTCCCAAACAGACCAATAAACAAGATCATGACATAGAAATGTTTGAAGTTGCCAAGGATTTTGTTTTACTTGGATCCAAAGTCAACACCCATGGAAGCTGCTGTTGTTCAGGTTTCTTGATCCTACATGATTCTTACAATCTCTGCTATGCTCAACATTGTTGCAGTCACTGTGTCAACTCTTCTTGTTAAGTCTTACCTTTTTCTGACTCTTCTCTTTTCAGAGCATGATGTCACATTTCATTGACTGACCCCTCACTACAAAATGCTCGAAGTGATGAGAGTATTATTGTCCTTGCCTATAAAGATCACTCTGGATACAGTGTTTTTGTTTTTTGTAGTCTATAGAATATTCTATACTCGTCAATAGCACTACAATTGAAACGGCTCAATTCTTTAGTACTCCTTATTCACTGTCCAACTTTTCCAACTATAGAAAGCCACTGAAAATATTATGGCTTGGATCAGATGCACATTAATCTTTAAAGTGACATCCTTGCTCTTCAGCGTGTTGAAGAGTTACTTAATGAACAACTCTGGCGACCTAGGGGCAAAGAAGCTGCACTGCAATCCGGGGGGGGCAAGTGGTTTAAATTCACCAGATGCTTTGCACAGTGCCACACTGCTGTGTTTGTTTTTTTTTAATTGGTGAGGAAATTTTAGATGATATCATCCTTTCCCCCCACTCCGCCCCAAACATCCAAAGCATCACAGTTAGGAACAAGTTGAACAGAGGGCTTTGTCTCTCCATCAGGCCTAGTCAAGGTGTTGACCTTGGCCACATCAATGTCATAGAGCTTCTTTATAGCTTGTTTGATTTGGTGCTTGTTGGCCTTGACATCCACAATGAACACAAGAGTCAAGAGAAATCTGAAGATGGCATAGTGGTTAAGCTTGTTTCTCCTGGCAGAGTTCTTCCAAGGGTATTTGGGCTGCCTTCAGAGTCTTAACATCAGGGAGCTCTAGTGGCCTAATGGCAAGAAGCTTCACTGTAATCCCTAAGACGTGTGGTTCAAATCCACCAGATGCTCTGCAGCAGAAGGAGGGGCAATAGGATCCAATTTGACGATACACAACAAGGGGGGAAAAGCTTAATAAATTAAACAAACTGGATCTTTTTGTTTTTGTTGCTGTGGAAGCCCTTCAGGACTGCCTTCTTGGCCTCTACTGCCTTCCCTTTGGCTTCAGTTTTAGGAGGGGCAGGGGCTTCCTTCTTTGCTTAGGTGCTATCTTCATAGAAAGCACTAATAACTTTTGACTTCTTGACTGCTGCTACCGTGGGTGTTGAATGTGGATTCAAGTAAAATGAAATCCTCGGCAATTTCAATTTCTCCATCCATCATATGTCACATAACACATTGTAGCTCAAATATCTAATCTGAGCATTTAAACCATTTTAAATTTAAACTTTAGGAACAAAAATTTAACATTCAAATAGGAATATAAATTACAGGGAACAAGAAATGTAATTATTATCTAATCCAGGTTATTGATTGAGATCACGTAACAGTGAATAAAATGTATTCCGTTAGCAGTCCTATTCTAGCCAACTTGTTATTATTTAATGAATGTGCTTCAAAACCTGAGAAGAAATCTTTTCTTGGAATACATTAGGCCTGTCATTGAAGAGGATAATTAAAGTATACATATGTGAACAAACAAAACAAAATTGTTTTTTTTAAGAAGCAAAGGTAAAAGCACATTCCTTATAATGATGTTAGCCTCTCTAAGATTTCAATTTTCAATATTTTCACTTTTACCTGCTTTAAGAACCCCTATCATACTGTAATTAAGGCTTTTTTTGGAGTCTGTGGTATATCTTTCAAGTTCAAACTGCAACTGTTTTTTACATCTTGCATATGTAACACTGCTATCCATAATTTTTTATGATACACAGTCACAATCTTTTGCATTGTCGAAATAACACAAATGCTCATCAACAAACAAGTGGAATGAGAAACTGTCATATAGTCACATGATGGAATTCTATGCAATACTCAGGAGCAACGATTTTGGAAATTACCAAAAAATTTGGGAGAGACTGGAGAGCAACATGCTGAGTGAACAAACTCAGTCTCATAATACTGCATAAAGATACTGCATAAGACCATTATTATAGACATTGATAACTAGTAAAATGTGTATGCGGTCCCAAGGAAGAGGAGGGTGGAAACGAGTGAGGATAGGTAGGGAGGAAATCATACAGTCACACAATTTGGTGGGAGGAACGGGTTGGGTAGAGGAGATGGGCAAGATATGGCAGAGATCTGTAAAGTCAGGGTAATGGTGGGCCTAGTTCAATGGTGATTGACTTTTATAAAACATAATGAAGGGGAATGATTGTATGAAACAACGTGAATGAAGGATAGTGTTAAACACAATGTATATAAACTTTGTAGCAAACCAATATAATAATAAAAAAAGGTTGGCAGTCATACAGTTAGATGGACCAAAAAGCTAGATTTTCTCTCTCACACACACTCTCACACACACACACACACACACACACACACACAGAGAGAGAGAAACAGAATTAGAGAATGGGCATGTCTTGTGGTAAGATATGTGGCCTATCACAACACTCAAGATGGATTGAGAAATGGTCTAACTATGAATGCAACCTCATTTTCCCTCTTTTCACTTTCAGCACAGCAGATCACATGAATGTCTGATTCAGATGTACCTGCCAATCCATTTCATTTTACCAATGCCTAGTATGTCATTATTCGTGATCCATTTCTTCCTTAACAATCTCCAGTTTTCCTACATTCAGACCTCTAACATTCCAATCACTAATCTGTTTGCAACTGTTCCTCCTCCTTTGAGACTCCCAGTACAAAGGCTCTGACGCCAGTGTCATATCTGCTAGTTTAAGTGTGCTTGAGGGTTTTCGAAGACCTGTTATTTAGAAGTGGATGGCCAATCCTTCTCCCTAGTCTTTTTAAATTTGGATTCTCACAGATAAGCATTTAGAGACCATTCCTCATTACACCAGTAACAGATCAGGCCCCTTCAGCTCATATGTCTTTTTAAATGAGGTTGAGTATGAGTAACTCACAGAGATCATCGATTAAAACCTGGACTATATAAAAGTACCTATTTCATTTGGTATAAAAAGTGTTGGAAGTTAGATAGAGTCGTTTCTAAACTTTTTGATTATTGTGAGTGCTACAGAACTTCACTGCAAGGCAAACCAAGATCTAAATAAATGGTTCTTTTTAGGTGTCAGTAAGTTAACAAAGATTCATAGTAATCCTATTAACAACATATCTGATCCTTGCCCTATTCAGTACCATCACTTAGGATCACTGTGATACCTAAGCTTATTGTTACAGTTACTGTATCAATCTATCTGGGAGAGTCTTCCTCTCTTTTGAAGCTCTTTCCCAGATTGATGTCTTTT